TGCTGTGGATCCTGGTGTACAGGAGTTACAGTGGTGGGCGTGTGGGTGGGATTAGTCCCATTTAAAAAAAAAAATATGGGTATCAAATGCTTGTCTAGTAGAATACTATGACAAATGACAAATTTCAAACCCAAGATGTGTCGGGGGTTTTTTAAATTTAATCATTTTAGTTTAGCCGTACTAAAATGACAATGAAAGTCAGTATTAGTGGTGTGGAAGTCTTGAAAGCATTTTTCAAAAATTTGCAAAGTTACTTGCCCTGACTTTTCTTTTTCTTTTCTTTTAATGACTGATTTATCAATGCAGAGCCTAAACCGCTGGGCTACAAACTTGAATTTTGGCAATTGATGCTTTTTATGTTATAAGCACACATTAAGAAACGATTTTGCAAATTTCATATCTAAGAGGGTAAAATAAGGGATGCACGGTTGTACGAAAGTCCGACATTTTCAAATATAGAACATGGTTTAAGAAATAACCAGGCGACCGAAGCTGCGGGCAATAGATAGTCATGGTACGGGAGCTAGCAACGTTTGGAAAGTAAGAATTTTAGGTCAGCTGATTTTGTGATATGTCGTCCTTCTTGCACTTTCGGTTAGACTCTGGGCTATCTGGCTGGCGGTAGCGGTTGCGTTCATTAGTGCGCATCCTACCTGTCCAGGTAGTAATCCTGTGTTTTAAAACCATTTTAGAAGGCGTAATTTTTAATTTTTTGTTTTTAAATAAGTCTACCTGACATACTTTTTTTATTGCCAGACATTTTTGACAATGCTAACTATGTGCCATACGCGATTTTATTTTATTTTTTTATAAAAATTTCAAAGTATTTTATAATGTCTGTAATTTTAATATTATGTTATTTAAGATAAGAAAAACTTAAAATAAATTTGCCAGACATTAATTCGATTGTTAAGTCTTGAATTAAAATTAAAAAGTCATGAAAAGTATTGCAGTATAATGCTAGTAGTCCGAGAGAGATAGTTGCAGAATAAGTCGAGAATGATACAGAGAACCATTACGAAAGTAAATTACTTTTCACTGTGCATATAATTAAAAAAAAATAATAAGAATAAGAATAATAATAGTCATCATTCTAGTCAGAGCAAGTTTCAAAAAAAATTTTAAGCATAAAAAGGATTATAAAATTAGATTAGTCCATATGGGACGATGTAGTCGCTCAGCGACAAAGTCCTTTTATTAATAAATATAAAAAAAAAAAAAAAAAAAAATTTAAAAAACAACACTTTTTATTTAAATAAACAACACTTTTTTTTATGTAAATTATAAATAAATTAATATTAAGTTTTTCAAGTTATTTCAACCAAAGTTACAAAAAAAAAGAGGCATCTTCATAATCATCATCATCATCGTCGCTGTCTTTGTCAGTGTCATTCATGTCATCTTCTTGGGAACTTTCGTTATCTTCTAAAACTCTATCATCTGCAACAGAAAAAAAATAAACAGTGTAATTCTTCTAGTTCGTTATAAAACATTTTAGTTATTATTGATTTTCACACTTACTTTGAACAATAATATCTGCAACTGAGGATGGTAATTGATCTCCCAAAAACCAGACAAAATCATATTTGTCACCGTTAATGGTCCAACCGAAAGTCATTGGAGATAAATATGTTGGATGTTTTGAGTGAGCATTTCTCCAAATTTTCGTCACGTAACGAACCCTCAATAAATGCTGTTGCAATTCCGCTTTACAGGGTGGCAAACTGGATGAGTCAAAGTTTCGAAATTTTTTGTTGAAGTTCTCATCTGATTTTTTAGACTTAAACGTACTTGAAAATAAATGAAATCGAACATCATTAACATTGGAACAATTTTTAACTCCAAACATTTGACAAATAAATTTCTCCAGGGTTACAAACGTAGTTTCAAGTATTTCTTTGTCATCCGTAATAATATTATCAAAAGCTAACTGGTATTCTTTAGAATTTTCTAATATTTTAAAAGGCTTAACTTTGCCTTTTCTAAAAAAACCTGGCGTGTAATCACATCCGGTTATTGCGTGGAAGCATGGTAAAGCTTTGCATAAAGAGTCACCAAGAATTCGGTGTAATTCATTGATGTTTATGTAACGCTGATGATTTCCAACACCCATATTTATCCAAATTTTCAAAGATGCTTTCAGGTGATCCATATTTCCCAGAAGTATAATTAAAATATCAGAATCAGAACAGCGTATAACAACGTCTGCGTCAAAATCGATTTGGCAAATATGAAAAATAATCCTAGAATCAGCTTCGGACTACTAGCATTATACTGCAATACTTTTCATGACTTTTTAATTTTAATTCAAGACTTAACAATCGAATTAATGTCTGGCAAATTTATTTTAAGTTTTTCTTATCTTAAATAACATAATATTAAAATTACAGACATTATAAAATACTTTGAAATTTTTATAAAAAAATAAAATAAAATCGCGTATGGCACATAGTTAGCATTGTCAAAAATGTCTGGCAATAAAAAAAGTATGTCAGGTAGACTTATTTAAAAACAAAAAATTAAAAATTACGCCTTCTAAAATGGTTTTAAAATACAGGATTACTACCTGGACAGGTAGGATGCGCACTAATGAACGCAACCGCTACCGCCAGCCAGATAGCCCAGAGTCTAACCGAAAGTGCAAGAAGGACGACATATCACAAAATCAGCTGACCTAAAATTCTTTCTCGAAAACGTTGCTAGCTCCTATACCATCATGTTATATAACGATGGAAGTGTCCACGTTTTCTGTTTCGGGATTTAGTTCGCCCCAATTACCTTTTGAGGTCGTCTCTGTCATTTATTAGGCTGACCTAATGTCTTTCACCTTTCACGGCTAGTTACTTAAACACAAAATGCTTTATAGCCTTCGATTCTTTAGTAAAAGCCGTAAGCGGTCAGATTTACTGTCCTATTTCCCACCGGAAACCAACGCCCCCCCTGCGTGATAAGGTCGTAAAATAACAACTAAATGGACGAGTCTGTCTTCAGTAATACGATATTGGATGTTTAGAAGTTCTAGCAATACTCAATTCATCATCTTACACTTTCCCAAAATCAGCCTATCGCAGTCCACTGCTGGACATAGGCCTCTCCCATTGCACGCCACTTAGATCGATTTTGGGCTTCTCGCATCCAGCTAAAGCTTCTCGCATAAAAGTTTAGTAGGACTTAATTACTTCGAGAAATTTCTCTTTTGTGTGTTGTTCTCAAATTTCTAAGTTTTGCTACTAAACTCTTGTACAGTCAAACAATGTTATTAAAGATTGGATATGAGTTTCCGATAGACATCCTCAGTGTTTAAAGTCCTAGCTGATAACTCTGTGATTCATCTTGGCAGTACTTTTTACGATATCTTAGAATTAACTACACGTTCATACTATTATTATTTAACGAGTTCACTCGACCTTGAACCGTGTCAATAATATACGTACCTCCGTCCATTTTAATTATCATTTTATGACGCCAATAATGATTGCACATATGTGATATAAGGAGACACCGATGATAAAATCAATCAATCGTTTTTAGTTTATAGGAATCATCAATCATCAACAGCCCACAACAGTCCACTGCTGGACATGGCCTCTCCTTCGGAAGGAGGGTTTGGCCTACTATACCACGCTGGCCAGACGGGTTGGCATAGGGTTTGTGTCAAGTTTTCCTTCTCTTTGCCGTGCTGTTGTCCTACGTAGTTTGTCCCTTAGTCGGCTCTTACGACACCCACGGGATGAATAGGGGTGGTGACACTCCGTATTCTTGATCCGTCACCACACGGACAAGGAAACCGCACCACACGTTTAAGGGAATAGTTGATTTAAAATGTTACATGGTATTATCAGGATAATAAATACTTAATTTTCAAGTCTTAAATCAACACACGTTGATAAGATTAATGGAAATCTTTAATCTCCATTTATAGAAATAATGTGACACAATATAAGTGCAATATACATACGTATGTCGGTTTTGTAATCATTATAAATAAAAGGTTAGATTACATTCTTACTCCAACTAGGTGGCACATCACTTAAACCGATACTATACATATATGTTATTTTATTTCACTGTTGTTTATCGAGAGTTTATAAACTTTTGAATATTGTAATATATTTAGAAAAGGTATACATTTAAATTAACTATATTTATTGTTAAAGGATTTTGCATTCAACGTATACGTCTTTCATTATTAAGTTACATGATTTCTATAACTCTATGATATGGTGCAGTAATCATAGAAATCACAAAGCAAGCCCTAACTTCACAGACTCTACACTCTTATTATTAAGATAGATTACCGTTACGTCATATTAAACCACAGACCAAAAACCTTATTCTTGTTTTTATATACGCTCGCAGAAAGAAATAGGATTAAGCTCCGGGTTGCTCCTCGAAAACATCTTGATATTTCGATGAAATGTTGAGTACCTAAAGGTATATATCAATGTTTATTTCCTACGATCCAATTCCCTGAAATCCTTCGAGTACATGATTGGATAAAATCGATTCGAATTGCCAATATCTTTCATCGCCGACTTGAACGCAAATCAACCTATTTTTAGGATACCCAATTGTGTTTAGGAATCTCGTCTGGAAATTGAAAGTAATTTTTTTTTCTTCATTTTAAACGTATCTTAGAATACGAAATGAACGTCTTTGTGCAAACCACACCGCACAAATCTTATTACTCGTATAAAACGAGACAATCAGGCTAGGAGGTCCTTAGATAATAAAAACCAGTTTCCACATTGATGTCAACTGTTCAATAAATTAGGTAGATAGATGGTTCTTAAAAATGAATGGTGATTCTTATTGTACTTTCTCTTTTTGTTATAACTGTTTTTCAGTTATATGACCAATACTCGAATTAATTATTCACCTATCTTTAACCTCTAATAACGAAATTCTGCATGATCAATACTCCATTTTCTGTCAGTTATCTGTAAAGTAATCTTAACAAAATTTATTATAAAACTACAGTGATATATTTTACCCACCAGATGCCGGAACATAGCGAAACTCCTGTACATCCACATGCTCGGTTATCCAGCTCACTTTGGACAGCTGGAGTGCCTCAAGTTGATCGCAAGTCCACGCTTCACAGACAAGCGCGTCGGCTACCTCGGCGCCATGCTGTTGTTAGATGAACGCCAGGACGTACATTTACTCATCACTAACTGTTTGAAAAAGTAAGTACTCATAATTTTAAACAGTTTAACTTCGAATATTAAGTTAGATTTACGTTTGACATGGTTTAGATGACTAAAATTCATAAAGAACCGAACTCAGTCCTTTTGTTTTCCATGTAAAAGAAGTTTTTTTTTGTCATATTTTCATCAATTTCGCTTGAATAAAATCGTTAAGTTGAAGGCCTCGACTCGCTACCTTTATAGAGAATCAACCGATATGGTGTAAGAAATACATATTCTATTACCTTGTTAACTTTGTTACGTATTATCGTAATTATACATATTCGTACCAGAAAACATAGGATTATATTGATTGACGTCAAGGAAAACCTTTAAGTGCGTTAATATTACTATGTCCGGTATCCCACTAACACGTGTTTCGAAAATAACACTCACTTAATAGGCAAACAGCACAGAAATTACGCCTGTCACAAAGTTTTTTACTTCTGTAGGGAAAAAACATTTTCTTCTACGAATTGGTTTAATTGCCGTACAGACACTCTCGGTGTTTATATACAAAACAGAAATAAATATTATAACATCCTAAACGTAATAAACAAGATAATATGTTATTCGACACAGGTAAATCCCCATATTAAAGAGAAAATAACTCTAAAGCATCGTTTACGCACGTAAATGATTACTCTCCAAGCAGTAAAAGATAAATTTATGTATCCATGTAAGTCCGTCTACCTTTATAATAAATCACTTGCAAAATCTGTAGCTAATGAGTAAATATTTATGGCCGGACGATTCTAGGAATATTTATAAAATCAAACGAATATTCCAGTCATACACTTCTCTTAATTCCTCACAGGGAATCAAACTGGAAGGGATAATCAATATCGCAACAGAGCAAATGTTCTGTATTTCCGCATAATTCTTGACCGCTAACCACAAGACTTCTTGATCGATATAAAAAAAAACGTTCGTGGTGATATTCACCTGTTACTATGCGGCGATAAGTAATGATTACAAAACTTATAAAATAAGTTACTCACTTTAAACCGGAACTAATCCTTCTCTTAAACGCCCACCACTGTAACTTCTGTACACCAGGATTAACAGCAGTGACCCACGAACACACCGAGTTATGACACTCAGGAAGTCCTCGGGAGAAAAGTAAACTGTCTTGTAACTAACAACGAAATTAATTAGAAGAAAATTTGAAGAGTTGGAAATATAATAAATGCAGTCCTAAGTTGCAGTTAAATACACAAGGTCTTTTATTTTGTAATATCAAAAAATACTATTTTATATAAAGTTTAATACTTTTATAATATTATTATCCTGGTATGAAGTTGGTAAGAATACATCAACAAAGTTCAGCTAAAAACACCAAAATGTTATCCAAAGTACATACATATACCTAAATACAGTTTTATTTGACTCCCAAGATTTGTTTACATAATTAGTTAAATAGGCTCTGACGGACCATAAACGAGACGTGATTAATACTGTTGTCGCCCGATATGGCAAGGCATGGACTTAATCAAGATCTCCACTTTGTTAAAACCAACCACGAATTGTTAAAATAACCTTACAATATACGTAGGTATATGCTTAACTAAGGCAATCAAATGTCTGGATTTTTGAAATTGGGAAAAAAGGGTTTATTTCTAAGCCGTCCAGAAGAGCTGAAAAGATTATAATAGTACATTTTAATCACGAATTTTATTTGCGAAAACAAATTGTAGCTTCATACACTTATTATAAACTAGCTGACCCTGCAAACGTTGTTTTGCTATTTACATTTTTTTTTTTTGAATTTCTTAAAATCCTTTCTTAGCTGACCTCTACTCGGTGAAAAGAATATTCCTACCAAATTTCAAGTCTTTATCTCTAATGGTTCCAGAGATATCGTGATGAGTGACTATATAGTGGAAATCTCTTATATATATATATGTATAGATAGATAAAATATAATAAGCAATATAGTAGTAAAACAATCTGATAGTAGTTACAATTATTCCTGGCACATTCAAGAGTTGAGTAAATAAGATGCTTTTAAATAGGCGTGTACCATCTTGCCACAGATGACTTAGGAAATGCCTCTTCCATTATCCCATTCAAACAGATTATAATTAATAAAATAAATAGTTCCTCAGCAACTAAAACAATAGGTTTTAATAGTCTAATCCTAATAAAAGTAATTTCTAGTAAATGTTAGCTAGAACGATATGAGGAAAATTGTTTTTTTCACCAGTATCCCTATACATATTTTCAGCTATTTACCACTAGATGTCCTCATGACCCAGATTTTTTATCCTTCAGAAAAAAATGAAAAACTGATATTTTTCTAAGTGAGTGAAAATCTGTAAGAGTTTTCTGGGTATTCACAAGGCTCTAAGCTAATTATGGTAAGCTCCTTATTGATATTGACAGTTCTTACTCTGTTCTGAAGGTCAATTCTTGTAATAAAAATTCAATCAAAATTAAGTACCGATCTAATCTCGATCTCACAAATTTTGAAAGGATTTTTATGCCGATGATTGAACTTCTGGTTACTTCTGCGACAAAAAAGAGAAACAGAGGTTAATATTTATAAAACAAAACAGAACAACAGATGTCGAAAAAATAAATAACACGCTCTTTCTCCCACAGTGACCTGAACAGCAACACACAGTTCGTCGTGGGTCTCGCCCTCTGCACTCTGGGTGCCATTGCTTCCCCCGAAATGGCACGAGACTTAGCCTCTGAAGTTGAACGCTTAATAAAATCCCCCAACGCATATATTAAGAAGAAAGCAGCACTCTGCGCCTTTAGAATTATCAGAAGAGTGCCGGATCTCATGGAAATGTTCCTCCCGGCTACGAGGAGTCTGTTGACTGAGAAGAACCATGGTAAGAAATATCTATTGATTTTAGATTTTTTATAAGTAACCCTCTTTCCTACAATACAATCAGTGTTTGTTTAGTGGGTAATTAATATTCTTTATTTGCGATAGATAATATTGTTTTTTAATAAATACAATATTGATTGAGTGAGAATAGTTAAGAGCCTAATTCAACATAATGTAAAACTCATACTACATAAATTACTATTTAGTAGATATCGTAAAAATAGCGAGTCCTCCAGTAATCGTACATGTGTAACATGTGACATACCAACTGACGATCAACTCTTAAACCGCGCTCATTGGTCAAATTGGCTACCTGTTACACAATTCCGTCCCTTTTCACGTAATTACTTTTACACAGGAATGTGAAAAAAAAGATATAGAATTAGGCCACTTGTACTGTTCCATAATATTGATTTTATTAAACCTGACTGGTTTCGACTCTCGGCATTTTTAAAAGGTATTATGACAACTACTTATTTGAAACCGGTCAGGGTTAATAAAATAAATATTGTGGCACAATAAAAGTGAGCTAATTGCCATTAGTCAACAATATAAATAGTCGAAAGAAAAGATGTTACGCATCAAAGAAAATAATGTGTGGGTATAGACAGCTAACTCTGAAATTCGACGATAATTACTGTAAATTTATTAGTAAACAGTCCACTTTAATAATTTCAATACTAATCGTGCCAGAACAGAGTCGGATTTGTACAAAAAAAACCTTTTAAAACCAAACGTCATTGCGTTGCAACAATTTACTTGTTTAATTATGTGACCAAGTGCCGTCAGTCACAGAGCAATTAACAGTAATTGAGTTCGCAAAACGGTCCTCAGTATCGTCATTTTCACTCTATTTAGTTCCCCTTAATAACAATGTGAGTCACGTTATATGAGACCTCTCGAAAATGCGCCCAAGTTTTAAAACTCAATTTGGCTTTTTCGTAGACACTGTTTTAGGTTATTAATTCAAACGATACTATTTTGGAAATAGTAATAACTTGACATATCTTACACATGGTCGTCTGATCCCAAATTAAGCGGAACCTGTGCTGTGATACATAGGTATATCTATCTATACTAAGATTATAAAGCTGAAGAGTTTGTTTGTTTGAACGCGCTAATCTCAGGAACTACTGGTCCGATCTAAAAAATTCTTTCAGTGTTAGATAGCCCATTTATCGAGGAAGGCTATAGGCTATATATCATCACGCTAAGACCAATAGGAGCGAAGCACCAATGAAGAATGTTTCAAAAACGGAGAAAATTTATTACTATTGAGAGACGCAGACGAAGTTGCGCGGGTCAGCTAGTATAAAATATATCTAGGAACAGAACAAACGAGTTTGCTCATCACGTAATTATTTGTCCTGGGTGGATAGAATGTACGACTTCTGGCTAAGACATCAAAATCAGTAGACCAACAGATAAAAAAACTAACAATCAAATATAGAGAATTTTAAGTAATTTAATTGTGTCCAATCCAAGTGTGAATTTTTTTGAAATCAACCCACTCTAGAAGGCGAACACTTTAGGAGTTGCGATTGGTGCAGATGTTAGTGCGGGCCAATCACAGCGCCGAATGCAATCTCCGTGACAACCGAGTAGATGTGATATAAACTCACACTTGGGCCTTAATTACTTAATTTATTATATCACATCGGATTTAGCGTACATGATACTGTCATCCATCATGATATTTTAGTTAACTACTCTTTTGAGTTGCGTGACAAATCTCACGTTTAAGTTAACAGTTTAGGTACCTTATCAGTTCAAGAACCTCTGATTGAAACACTCCTTAAATCCAAGCCCTCGGTAATTAGATTATAGCACTAGTATCGATATTAGCTGTATTATTATAAGTACTGATTCGCACGAATAGCTTGTATTGTATTGTATAAGGACACGCAATATTGGGCTCTCGCGTTCGTAGTGTCGTGTGAGTTCAACAACCTGAACACCTATACATATTTTACACTAGTTTCTATGTGGTGACTCTTAATAGGAAACTAATACTCTGACCATCTGACCATAAACGCCCACGTATACCTACATCCCCTGTTTTCGATTAAAATCGTAGTCTGTAAATTTATTTGTTCATATTGGGAATGCAATTAGATTACACTAATATTTGTGTTTTAACACCTAATTAAACACCTTGTGGTATCAAAATATTTTGAACTTTCGGTATATTTTGACCACGTAATTTCTTATTAGAAAATATTTGACAAGGAAACTTAGATTAAAGCTCTTACGCGTCGCACTTACCTTTATTCGTAAGTAACGGAATAACAAAAAGATTGACATTACGCTATCCTATGATATCCTAAGTCCATTAACCTCCTTTATGGCTGCAGACATTGGCATTTCGGGGCTTAATAGCATGCGCGAAACACCATAAAAGTATGAAATAAAAGTCTGATTTATCGTCAAATAATAATAGAGATTAGGTATTTGTATTGCGTGTTAATGAGGTACAGGGAAACGGTATGTTGAAATATGTTTAGCGAGAATACCTATTTTTTTATTTCTTAAAAAAAAACACCCGTCTCCTCTAATATGATGAACTGAAGGCTAATTCTCGTTCTCAATTCAGTTCCGATCAACTTTAAATCTCACACCTGTCATAAAAGGTACTTTCGTAGTAAAGTATTAAATATCCAACGTTGACTGTATTGTGGCAATATCGTAGTGTAACCGAAAATTGAATCGGTAATTTGCTAGCCTTAGTAATGCTTTACTATTTTTTAATTGAGACCGAACTTTCAGTAGTCTCATGGCTATGATAATGACTAGATATCGCATAGAAAAACTTTACGAGATATCCTACTTCATCCAGATTTCTTCCACTTTCCATTATTCCAGGTGTACTGATAACTGGTGTGACACTCATCACGGAGATGTGCGAGAACAGCCCTGATACTCTCAACCATTTTAAGAAGGTAAGATTTTACAATCATCAATCCTATTCATTTAATTACAAATTCTGGTTTATTTTCCCCTCTGTAAATATTCTCGTCATCAAATGTCAGTCAGTCAGTCATGATCAGTCAATGTGAAACTCCTTGTTATCTAATCACAAAATCTTATATACTATAGAAAACCCCAAAATATGTCTAACAATATTTTAATTCAAAATAAAAGTAGACTTTATTTATAAACAGTAAGGTTCGATTTTGTATTGTTTTAAATTATGCTGAAAATTCAAAAGAATGTCTAAATTCAGTAGTTGAGACTTACGATAATGTTTGCTAATATTTGAATGTACCTTGTTTGTCTTATAAAAGTAGGACAATAGATTTTTACTTGGCTAAATATGTTAGATTTATAAGGTAAATATTATTGATTTCATTCGAATTTGATTGAATTACGACTTGTCGGGACTATTTTAATATATAAAGTATTAATCCAATCCTGTTATTGTAAATATGCTTAATGAATTGCAAAAAAATCCCGTTAATAGTAATTCTACTGCATCCTTGATAGAAAGTAATAATAATAAATGTTGTATTCGATACATAATTGTGTTACAATAATAATAATAACCTCATACATCTCACACACGGCCGTCTGATCCCAAACTAGGCAGAACCTGTACTGTGGTAACCAGACTGCTGATAAACATACTTACATATTTCTAAATACATACATACTATAGCCAGCCTGGAGTAGTAGGCCAAAAACCTCCATTGTAAGGAGAGGCCTATTTCCAGCAGTGGACTGTTAAGGGCTGTTGATGATACATATTATAGATAAATTACACCCAGACACAGAACAAACGATCGTTCTCATCACACAAATATTTGTTCTGGGTGGGAATCGAACCCACGACCTCCGGCTTAGCAGTCAGGGTCACTAATACACGAGTTTAAACCGCGAAAATATATTATTGTGGCCATAACTCTGTACTATACCCCGCTTTTGATGTTGCTTAACTTATCGCTGTCTTGTTGAAATGTAAATAAATGAACGCTCACAATGGTGTAAACATATGACAGGTCTTACAAATATATATTTAGAATTACTATTACCTCTATATATGTTTTCCAGTCTGACATATTATCATTAACTTCAATAGAAAATGAGTAACGTTTGAGGAATTCGAAACGGATAAAGAACAAAAGGTATTAACAGAAAGAATTATTTTCATATTCATAATATTACATGAAATTATCTTTTATAAACTTAAGTTACCTACAACATATAGAAATTTCCAGAATTAAAATAACTAGGTTTTTTTTTGTAAAATTAAATACTTAATAAAAAGTAAAGTTGTATTTATAGGCATTATGTCTTTGTTGTCTGGGCTTTAAAATAAACATTAGCACACGTTTTGTCTATCATTGTCATTAGAATCATAAAGGAATAGCATTCATATCGATGATATCGCATAGACATTGAGGGCGTTTACTAATAATTTTCAAAATAATTTTACGTTTAATACGACTCTGCCATTAATCCCCTCTAAGGCGTTAGAATATATGTGTATAAGCAACTGTCCTCCAGGATATTATTATTACAAATCTGTCATATAAGTTTATAAGTCTCTTACTATAATGTAATTCCAATAGAAGTTTAGCATCATTTCTACTACGTGTTTTTAATAGTTGGTTGTAATGTAATTTGTGTATATAATTGAGTTTTGACTACTACAAAAGTAATTTTATTACGGCATCACGGCTCTGTGTCAATTATACACAATATAATGTAAAAATTAAAACGTGAGTAAGTTTATAAATAAGTAATTAAAAAAAAAACAAAAAAAAAACAGCTTTTATACTAATCAAGCCAAGGTTTTAAATTACATTCTTTTAAGTAATATTTATTTGTTTTAGCTATTCAAGTCTACTCCACAGTTCGCTTTCTATTTGCAAATTCTATTCTTAGTATTCTTATTACTATTTTATTCTTCCATCACTATTACTTGAGATCCATTACCTGTATTCAATTTGTGTAAAACCAATTTACTTCTTTTATAACCATACTTTATGTAGGTAATCATAGTTATTGCATTTGTTTACAAAAATCCTTTTTATAAAGTGACCTGTTTTTTTGCGGTTGTAAGTGTAATGGATTCATAAATTATCCACTTCATAATGTTATCAGGCAGTGGTATGGCACATCGGGTCGTGCTTATCATATTTCTTATCATATCAATAGCTGTGTGTATACGCTCTGTTTGCTTATATCGTATGTATTTGTTGTATATGACGTTAAAGTCTATACCATGTCACCTGGTTGCGATTTAAGAATTCGATTTAACAGGAAAGACAACTCCCGCATTAGGAATATATCCTGTGTCTTTGTGTGTGGGGACTTTACAAACATACATGAAACGGATACAACGAACACTCAGACTCAGAACAATTTGTGGATCACACAAAGTGTTGTTCCATGTGGGGAGGGCGTGGCGACTGCTTTAACCAGTACCGTGCAGTCATATCTGATTGATGAATTCTTTTTGGTAGCAAAAAGAAGATAAATATGTCTAAAAGTCTTTTTGACTAGAAATCACCATTATCATTTTACTGACAATGTTGTCACTTTTATTTGGGGTAGGCACAAATTGTAACATTGCCAATTCAGGTACAATAATAATAATAACTTCCCACATCTTACACACGGCCGTCTGATTCCAAACTAGGCAGAGCCTGTGCTATGGTAACCAGACTGCTGATCAACATACTTATATATTTCTAAATACATACATAGTACAGATAAATTACACCCAGACACAGAACAAATCATCGTGCTCATCACACAATTATTTTGCCTGGGTGGGAATCGAACCCACAGCCTCCGGCTTAGCAGTCAGGCTCACTAACCGCTAGACCAACAGGCCCGTCAGTGTTACAACATTTTTTTTATTCCAATGATGATGTCAAGTATCATTCACTAATAATATTGTTTGTGTTGTCCCGTAGGAGAGCGGGCAACGCGAGGTAACATACAAACGCTGATCCATGCACTTTATCCCTTTTGCAGTCTGATTACATTGTACACAGTACGCGAAAGTAACCCTAAAGAACATTGAAACTTGAACAATAATAACCTTATTGTGATACCAATTACGGTTTAAACTTAAACAGCACTGATGTCGTTTAAAAGTGAAAATATTGTGTGGTATTTCTGGTTCCATTTATACGATATGCGTGACAATATCTAAGTGGACCATTATGTGCATGTTTATTATCTTCAAACATGTAATATACTGCTCTAAATTAGCTAGTAAAACAGTAATTAACCTAGCTACTAACCTAACATATACATACTACATATATGTAAGTATAGCTAGAGTATATTTGTATTTGGCTCTAACCATAAACCATACAAAAATTAAAAATAATTATAGAAAAGGATTATAGATTACTGACATTATTCTCTTGAAATAAACATTTCACGTACAAGAAATTCTATAATAGCGACTATAACAATTTTCCTTTCATAATAAATACAATTTACGTTACGTCAAGGTTACAATATCATCAGACTACAAAGCAAGCATGATTGTAATATTTATTGTGTTGGTGGTACAACCATATCTATATATATATGGGTTACAATTATACTGTGTGTGGGAAGCCTTAGCATAAAGTGACTGACCTGATTCACGTAAAGATGTAGAAATATTTTTTATTCAACATGTTCTGAATTACTTCTTTGTGCTCTGTTTGTATAAATATGTTAATAATTTGAATCAGCTAAGGCTGCCTACACACTATGGAACGACGGATCACAAAGTTTAATACAAAACTCTATCATCCGATTAGATCAGTAAGATATAGTATTAAAAGCACGACACAACAATTATGAATTAGGCACATAAGAGAGGTTATACATAGGTAGATAGAATTTATTTAAATTCATTTTCTTAAAAGAGGTAGTTAGCAGTTATGTACAATTTTTGCTACTCATAAAAAATCATACTATGATTATAAAATTAATTTTTATGTAGTACTTTGTTATAACTAGTGATTTGGTAGTATCAGTAAATTACAGTCTTTATTATATAAGTATATTCATATTATCTAATCCAAAACCGTTTTGGGAGATCCACGTGTGATATTACCTTAAAACAGTTACAAATTAAAAAGTAATTCAACATAATAGATTGCATTGTTAATGTATTAATTTAGTCATAATTCAAAGATTGCCAATTACACTGAAACACAAACTGGAATGGGAATATGCGGCATCTTACAGATTGTCTTAGCTTTGTATCTTGTAAAGATAATCAAATAAATAATGGAACTAAAGCGTTTACTATTTTGAAAATACATTTTTCAGAAAATAAAAAGGTTAAATTGTTCTATAAAACGTATACATTTATTTCACTTTATTTACAATTTATTTCTAGTGGCAAGACTAGCTGCTTGCATTGCGACGCACTGTAAATATTGAATTGCAAAACATTTTATCAATCCGGCTGCTACTTATTAGCCAATATAATTATTGTATCAATTTTGATGACAGCTTTAAACCACAAGAATATATCACATTTGGAAATCCCAACTCCACCCCAATAATTACGCAAAATTGTGTGATTTTAGCACAAATGTGATTCAGTGACTAACATGCAATAATATGGAGTCGATCATATTTTATAATTATTATAACATCGATGTAAAACCCAGTCCCCATGTATATTTGCTGTCGTGTCGTGATCGTAAGCCTGTAAAATTGTATTATCATTCGAGTTGGACAGTATTTTGTTGTTTATATACATTGCCTGATATGTAAATTCGTATATTTATTTAATTTTTGATCGCTTTGCAAACTTTTATATGTGTTTCGTGTGCCTTGGGCGATATTGTTGGTACGTGTTGTTCATATTTGATGTATAAAGCATGAGTTTGTTTCTAGATCGTTCCTAATTTGGTGAGAATTCTGAAAAACTTGATATTGGCGGGCTATTCACCGGAACACGATGTCAGCGGAGTCTCCGATCCTTTCTTACAGGTAAAGTCTTGTAATTGTTTGTTAAACGCACTTAATTGATTGAAAAGAAACTTAAATTGAATTATGGCAAAAAACAAAAATATATTGTTTTCAGGGAAAAAATACTTCTGTGAAAATAACAGTTTTTTCGGGTTTTTGTTAAGACTTAATAAATATTTGTAAACACTAAAAAATAGTGATTTCAATCATAAAAATTATTTAAATGCAGCTGTTGAATATGAACATCTTGACGGGTTAAATTCTAAAATAATCGCTGGTTGTTTTTTTCTTATGGAGCAACCAAATTTTGCAAGAAAGAAAACACATGCATAGAACATGCATATTCAAATTAACTATAATAAGAAATAAATACACAATTAAAGAAAATTATAAGTAAAAAGTAATTCAAAAAGTATCGCTGGTACTCTGCCTTCGCTTACCTAATTTTATATAATCAGTCAGTCAGCAGTCAGTTCTCATTATAACGCGCAAGTTTATACGCAAAAACTTATGTCATTGAAATAATAAATGAACAATGCATGGTTAGCTAACACGTGGATGTAATGCGAAATTCAACACTAGCACACTCTCAATACTATATTTGTTTAATCATATTGTTTCATATGTGCGAGACAAGACAATACACACATATCATAAATAATTGTTTATCATTAGCATGCGACTCGGTATCTTGAATATTTTTTCTGTATCCGGAAATATATCTGCATATAGCGAGATACATATATCAGAACGTAGATATTTAAGAAAATGAGATCATTTTTCGAGCATCTTAAACTATATTAAATAATTGTGTAATAAGTGCAATTAGAAAAAAGTTATATATTTCAATACCTTTAATTTTAAAACATAATTATTTAAAGACCTTTTCTTTAAATTTGAATCTCGAAGCAAAACAACATAACTGTTATATTTAATGTCTTCTTACCAAACCACAACAAACAAAAAGGCATTAAAGGTTGTCTGTAAGAGATCGCCGTGAGCGATAAAACCGCCTGTTGTTATACCTAAGTTTATATAATTTCTCTACAAATAATACTGCAATGGTGTACAATAAAGAAATAAATAAATAAATCGTAACTCGTACCCTAGAGTATCTAATTGCACTTGCTTTTGTCGAGTGTACGTGAAGATATTAACAAAACCTTTAATTAATCAACATAAACTTAACTTCTAGGTTAAAATCCTTCGTCTACTCCGAATACTCGGGAAAAATGACGCCGAAGCCTCAGAAGCGATGAACGACATCTTAGCTCAAGTAGCCACAAACACGGAGACTAGTAAAAATGTTGGCAACACCATTTTATACGAAACAGTGTTGTCTATTATGGACATCAAGTCTGAGAGCAGTTTGAGAGTATTAGCCATCAATATACTTGGAAGATTTCTATTGAATAACGACAAGAACATAAGATACGTGGCATTGAACACTCTGCTGAGGACTGTTCACGTGGATAATTCAGCCGTCCAGAGGCATAGGACCACCATTTTGGAGTGTTTAAAGGTAATTATTTTTAGAAGATGGAAGGAGGGTAGTAGGAACTAATAATTAAACTCAGATGCGTCATCATTATTATATCATCATCGTCATCATCATTCCTTTAAGTGAAACTGGCTCTCATGGCGATAAGGAATAAATCGGTATTCCATACCGCTGGTGCTGTTTATTTCTCCTTTCTTATTATCTGTATTTGTTTAAATGAAGACTACTAAGACGTAATTCGAGTAGTGTAATGTAATTTAAAGAAATAAAATACAATGTGTCCATTTCCAGGACCCGGACGTATCGATCCGGCGGCGCGCCATGGAGCTGTCGTTCGCGCTGATCAACGGGCAGAACATCCGCAGCATGATGAAGGAGCTGCTGTCGTTCCTGGAGCGCTCGGACGCGGAGTTCAAGGCGCACTGCTCCAGCGCCATGGTGCTCGCCGCCGAGAGGTACGCGCCCAACAACAAGTGGCACCTGGACACGCTCTTCAGGGTCTTACTCAAGGTAACAGCCATTACACTTTCTTCTTCTAACTAAAATTAGAGATTTACTAACAAGTGAATCCCTACGATCATAAATTAAACATTGAGATTTATTTTTCAATTGTGATTTTGCAGAGTACTTTGTGAATTAACCTAGATATTTCTACCTAGATAACACTGAAATGGCCGCATCTTCGGTTTGTAACTCTTTTCTTAACTTTGCATCAAATATGTTTTATGGGATGAAAGTTGGCTAATCTAAGAAAGAAACTGGTTGTGAATAGGGAAATTCCTTTAACGAGTGGGCCTGGTGTTTAATAATCGTGCTTAAATACTAAAATTGACCAGATTTCCAAAGTGTTTCTTTACTGATGTTCATCCATGTTAACTTCTAATAGCCTAATAGGTCCGGCTCTGGTAAAAAAGTACCACTAAATGACTTACGGCTGCTCTTGTAATAGTGCCGTATTTTTTGTGCAATTCTGCCTCTCCACTTTAAGGTTTAATCTATGATAACGTAAAGTAATATTGGCAAACAACAACTGTCCAGGCGGGCAACTACTTGCGCGACGACACGGTGTCGAGCACGCTGCAGATCGTGTCGGGCGCGGCGGCGGAGCGCCAGGCCTACGCCGCCATGCGCCTGTGGACCTCGCTCGAGCGCTCCGCCGTGTCCGGGGACGCCACCGAGAAGCAGCCGCTGGTGCAGGTATACAGCTTGGTCTTTCGAGCCGATCACTTTTTCTTTGTCATTGTGTGTGTCATGTATGTATGTATATTTATCTCATTTTTTCTGTCTAACTTCTCAGTAATTGTCTCTTACTTTACACATGTTTAGTGCACCTAGTCACACATATCAGCACCACTCTAAGGTAGACTGGGAGAAAATACCTGTGGCATTAAGTCCGCCATTGTACAACTCGTATTTGTGCATAAGGAATAAAAAAAAATAATATATATTTAAAGTCTATTTGTATGTACATCTACCTAACTAATTAGTAGTTAGTAACTGTCTGTCTATTATGTTTTTACATCTAAACCGTGAAAGTAAAAACTGATTGAACCAAAAATTTACATAAAGATTTGTTATTGAGAACAAAAAGAAATTGAACCTTGCAAAAAGCTGCACTGCCAGCTCGGCTGTGGTACATAGTGGTTGCGTTGATGAGAAATAAAAAACAAAACTGACACGAAACATAAAAACTATCCTTGAAGCAGGTGGTATATCGTGTCAAAATTTGATTTGATACGATGCAGAACTTTGAGTTTTTGAAGCGTACAGGAACTAATTTTTTTTTAATATATAGCTTAATCATCCACCACAATATAACAATAGGGGAGACATCACAGTTCATTACCTCTAATCTCTTTATAAAAAAATATACCCAACGACGATTGTGTTATCCTTTAAAAAAATTGTAAAAGCAGATATCATTCTATCTACACCATCATTCTATCGTTCGACGGAATTTTATCCCTAGGCGACCCCTGTACAATAATTATATAGTTATTTACAAAATAAACTCATTGTATTTACGAAATATAAAAAAATTGGTGTGCTTTATAAATACCTATTTGTTTTCAGGTGGCGACGTGGACTATCGGTGAATACGGCGACCTGTTAGTGTCGGAAGCCAGTAACGCTATCTCTATGGTCGACGAAGATGGTGTCGGTGAGGACCATTTAATACTAAGACTATTTTAGGGACGAGAATTTTGCCATTTTGCCGAGGAGTGTTTATAATAGTTATAATAATTTAAGATACCTCACATACAAGGCCGTCTGGTTACAAACTAGACGGAGCCTGTTACTAGATACTATATTACTAAATTCATATAAATTGTTAATAAATTACATACACAGGAGTCATGTTCATCACACAATTCTTTTATTTTTGAAAGGAATCGTAAAAATAACTGCACGGATGGCGTAGTGGTTTAAGCGGTCGCCACGCCGCTTCCTACTATACTGAGTGTTGTGGGTTCGATCCCCACATGGGACGACACTTTGTGTGATCCACAAATTGTCGTAATGAGTCTGGGTGTTCGTTGTGTCCGTTTCATGTATGTTTGTAAAGTCCCCCGCGACACAGGGTACATTCTTAGTTGGTAAAATTAAACTTTAAAACGGGTGTTAGAAAAAATATTGATTTATAATTATAAAAATAAGCCTAAGTGGTAACCCAGTAGGTTAACACATTGCAAAGTTAAGCACTCTTAGCCAGGTCAGTCTATTTATGGGTGACCATGACATATTGTGACCTCTCGTGCCTAAGAGAGCACGTTAAGCCAACCGAGACGGTTTCCATACGAACATCAGTCCGACAACAGTCTCAGTCTCTACAGAACTTTGATATTGCCTAGTACTTGGGTTATATTTATATAATATACTATATAATGAGTAAACGAAAACGAGTTGCATTTAATGTTTTAATTCTGTTTCTGTTATCATCTGTCAAAAAGCAAATAAATGAATAGATAATATAGTAAAAACATATTCCAACATTAATGTGAACGCAAGAGATGGTAACAGTTTCCATTTGAATTCCAGATGATTTCGTGCGTCCAACTGAAGAGTATGTGATCGACGTCTACCAAAAGTTGTTGTGGTGTACACAGCTATCGATCACAACTAAGGAGTACCTACTGCTGTCGCTGGCGAAACTGTCCACGCGATTCACTACACAACCTAGCCAGGAGTAAGTCAATTTAATTATTATATTTAGTTTCATCAATCATCATCATCAACAGCCTTTAATAGTCCACTGCTGGACATAGGCCTCTCCTTAGTAAGGAGGTTTTGGCCTACTATCCTATTTAGTTTAGCAAGTTTCTATCTAGTGATGTTCTATATCTTACGTATGCTTTATACTAATTTATGTCCTATAAATGGGCTCATCAATCAACAGCCTGTAATAGTCCACTGCTGGACATAGGCCTCTCCTTAGATACGAGGTTACGACAAACTATACCACGCTGGCAAGAACGCTTTGGTATAGGGTTTGTCTCAAGTTTTCCTTCTTTTTATAGTGCTGTTATTCTGCAGAGTGAATGCACGGTGAATAGGGGTAGTGACACCTCGTATTCTTAATCCGTAAACGGGCTAGGTTCTTTTAATTATTTTGAAATATTAAACAATACTTATGTGGGAGAGTATAATATAAATACAATACTGTTTTTCTGTGGCAGTCAAAAACAAAAAAGATAGTGAAATTGCGTAATTTAGACTTCTAAATAGTAGTTTTAATATACATAGTATAATATTTTGATGTTGTATCTGATATTTTTGTGAAACAGTGATTTGTTAATGTTTCAATAAAAGTTTTGGTTGGTTTCTTTAAATGAGCATAAATTATTTTTTCGTTTCAGGAAAATTCGAGTGATCATCGACACGTTCGGGTCTCACATTCATATTGAGTTACAACAAAGAGGCGTGGAGCTGTCGCAACTGTATAGGTAAGTCTAAAACTAATTTTTAATAATTTTTTGTGAGTTAGGAGTATCTTTGCATAAATAGGCAAAAGTTTAGTATTTTTTTGGAGTTTATCAATTAATTTTTATTTATTTACTTTGTACAGTACCATATAAATGAGTGTAGTTTTTAATTTTATAATGTTTAATTATGTTTTTCTATGGAGATAATAATAATCTCACATATCTCAAATATGACTGTCCGATTCCAAACTAGACAGAGATTATATATCACACAACATTTGTCTTGGATGGTAATCGAACCCACGACCTTAGGCTTAGCAGTCAGGATCACTGACCACCGAACCGACCCGAGTCGAGACGTGCGAAGTAAATATACCAGCAGGCACGAGATTTTTTAATTGATCAGAGATAACTGCGCGCTTCGGTGTGTTAGTTAGACGGTATCTGTGGTGAGCACGGTGCGAAGTGAGGGTCTGTGGTTGCAGGAACTACGCGCACCTGCGCGGCGCGCTGCTGGAGCGCATGCCGCCCATGGACCCCGCGCCCGGCGCCGGCGCCGCGCTGCTGCGCGACGACAGCGACCTCGAGCCCGACGCGCCCAGCCCCGACCACAAGCCCGACCAGGTACCCCCCACCCCTACCCGTCACTGCCGTTTGTTGTTAAAAAGCCTGTCATAGAATTAAAGAGTACTTACGAATCTCCCACCTAGCGTCTTGCCAGTCGTAATTACATTTTTTTTTTTAAATAAAATAATAACAAAACGTGATGTTAATAGGACGCGCTATTAGATTTGATCATCGGGTCGGACTCACTAACGAACGGCGACGTAGAACACAAACCTTCGCAGCCACCGCCCAGTAACAGCAGTAACGTAAGTATACCACCGAATATTTACCTGTACCTACAAAAACAAGGTGAATCCGGTTTTAGACTTACGGTTAAATTTTATTACGTACCTTTCTCCCTTTGGACTCGACAGAGGCAAAAGTCTACTACGACTATCCTTATGTACCTTACACATTTTTTGCTATCGTTAATCCTTTCATACAAGCCCTCCGGTTTCAATATAATTACCTGGAATGATATACTTTTTTTTATTTATTCATAGATTATAAAATACCTGTAGAAAACAAGCGTAACATCTAAACAGTAGTTATGTTATCAATAACAGGACATCTTGGATCTCCTGAGCGGCCTCGAGCTGACGCCGAGTGCGCCCGCGCCGGTCGCGCTCAACAACAACAAGGACGTGGGCGCGCCCCCCGCCTCGCTACTGCTCGACGGGCTGTTCGCCTCACCCGCTCTCACGCAACTCGCTCCCCCTCAAGGTTAATAAAATCTTAGTAAATCCTTTCAACCGTTTTACATCAATAAATAGCTGCTTTAATTTAACCTCCCCCCCCTCAGAGTTGGCCCACGTGACTGCGCTGGACAAGAACGGTCTGCTCGTGGTGCTGGGCGTGCAGCGCGGCGGCGACAGCGTGACGCTGACCATGCGCGCCACGTCCACGGCCAGCGCCACGCTCTCCGACTTCCTGTTCCAGGCCGCCGTGCCACGGGTATCGACATTCACTATATCTTCTTACTAATTAATTAGAAAAATATCATTTTCTTTCTCTTAAAAAACAATGGCGCTCTACGAATAATTTCGCTTTGCTTGCTAGACTTTAAGAACCGGGGACACGACGGTCGGGTATTCTCGAGATCGCATAGTTCTTCTCTCGTGTGAGATTCGCACTCCTAACACTCAGTGCGACGGTTTAGCGACACTATTACAACTTCTTTGAAAGAATGCTCAAATTCAACATTTAGCTTACTTATCTCATTTTAGACTATGCCTTAGTAACTGAACTTTCTAACGTCCACTTAAATCCAGTTCACTCTTCAATATTATTATTATTTAATAGTAATATTATAATAGCGAAAGTAACTTCGTTGTGAACTTTTTCACGCCTAACCAGTTACCAATTTTATTAAACTTTATTGTAAAGATAGATGGGATCTTAGGGGAAGAAATTACTCAGTTCTAACTGGATAAATATTCATTCTTTTTATTTCTTTAGTTTTCTGCGTCATTCACCTCTTGCAGAAATTAAATTTACCGTTGCTAATTATTCTAAAATACACAATTATTTAAATCAAGAATTTCAATATAATATAATTATAGTTTATTTTCAAAGATTATTATGTTGCGGCGGGTAATGACGCAGAAGTAAAAATAACGAAGAATCACCAACTGCTGTTAGGCCATTTATTATCTCAATACTAAAACATGAAATGCTTAAATTGTCATAAAATATAGAATCTTCGAAACGTATAAATAAAACATTAATTAAATGCGAAGGAAGTGTCGCGAGAAATAAAAATAATTGTAAAACGTGTGCTTCTAATACTAATAATATTTTTTAAATGACAGACGTTCCAGTTAGACATGATGTCGCCCTCAGGCACAGTTTTACCACCGCAGGGTGAGATCACGCAAGTACTGAAGATCACTAATCCATCCAGGGTAAGTCCTAACTGCAAACTTACTTCTAAGATCTTGATGAAATAAATAAATAAATAAAATATCTCTAAGTCTTACATGTGTAATTTGATTACAGACTCAACTCCGACTGCGGATACGAGTCTCCTACAATGTAGACGGCTCCCCAGTGCTCGAACAAGCGGAAGTTAACAATTTCCCGCCAGACTTGTTCAACTGACGAGTGGCCAACCCGCCCGGCTATTGCCTATAGCCACCCACGCACGCCCACTAGTGGGCATCACACCAACAGTGGCCTCGCGGAAACGGACTGGACAACGCCCTTACTACTTACGAATATCACTTGTGTTAAATCAGTAGTGATGTGTTGACGCCGGTTGTCGATTATTTATAGTTATACGTAATGTATAGAAGAAAGAATTGGCGGATTTACAATATTTTATAATTCAGAAACGTATATCAAATGTGGAGAATTAAATGGTTTGGTTATGAATGCCGCTACAAACCCATTGTTGTCAGGATCAAACTTAACTCTACTAAAATTTTACACCAAAAAAAGATTAATATTAAAATAGTAGAAGATTCGCCAGTAAATTTCTCGATAAGTGCGTATTTAGTGTTCGTTCGAGTTGAACAATCGGTGACCGCTTGACGTCTCAAATGATGGCTTTTTCACCTTCACTAAGACTGACCACACTGACACTTCTCAATTTGCTTTTATCACCTCGTATACTAGTAATATTATTTGCAATATAGTAAAAAACAATATAATGCTACAGAATGTGTACTGCATTTAAATACTGACAAAACACCTTATGGACAATATAATAATTTATCCCTTTTTATAACTACAATTTCATGATTAAAGTAGAATTGATTACAAAAATCAAGTAACATATTGAAAAACTGCTGCCATGATTTAAGAAAATGTATTTTTAAAATATTTGTAAAAATATTAATTCAAAAGAAAAAGGAAGTTATTTAAGTCTTAAATTTTTATTTATAATTCAAAAGGGAACATGTTTTTCCTTTATTTAAAACCCCTATAGAGTTTCTATGTATACGAGGACTATTATTTCATCTCACCAGCCATCATAGAGATGTACCTTAAATTACTGTTTTTATGAGATTCGCGATACATTCCAAACTGTTAGTTGCTGTATATCATCAAATTATTATTGTACATTGTTGGGTGGCCAGATAATTGTTCGTTATTTATTGTGAGAAATTATCTTGTAAGAAATTATGTTTTGAAGGTTACGTTAATTCGACCGGTATATGCATATCCTTGGATGAGTGATTCACCTTTTGTGATGATTCATCGACGAATGTGTTAAGTTGTTGGATACCGCGAAGTGACCACGTTGTGGTAACACTTTACCAGTCAATCAGGAGCTTGATATGATATCTGAACAGTCAGTATTATGCAACCACAAATGTAATACATCTCAGTGTAATCTGCTTACTGCCTCAATTTCAAATGGAAAATCAACCTTAACAACGTCCCTAAAAGTATATTTTTCATAAACTTATATACTTTAGACTGACATCGTTATTTAGGTTTGAATGTAAGATTTTTAAAATTTGAAGCTGTAAGTAGACATCTCCTTCTGTGTGGATTATGCCCTAGATAAATTGTAAATTACTGTTTTTGTGTCACTCGCGCTGTACATAAATTGAGATGTGTATGTATAAAGGATCTATCGTAAGCGAACTGTGAATGGAGGGCTGTATGGAATGTACTTAATAAAATAAATCACTACCTACTATGATAATTTTCGTGTGATAATGCACTTTAGTCCGCGAGCTGAAGTAACGGATTCGCGTAAACGTAGTCATGCGGTCTAAAATACACTGTCGAGCTGAAATATCTAGTCACTCGCATGCTAGCATGATGTAGGTAAGATGTTAATGTACTTTCAAGTTTGTATAAATTAATTGTTTAAAATATTCGTGCCTTGATTTTTTGCTCGCCATTGTATTTTAAAACGTTATAATTTTAATTTTCAGATAGTCTGTGGTCGATGTATCTAGTGCCCACTTAGTGTTGAGAATGTTATACATAACGCATTTTGTTAAGAATAGTTAATTGAAATACATTAACCGCTTCAACATGGTAAACAACTAGTTGACAGTACTGTTATTTTTATTGAGAATTTTATATTCGCGACTATGTAAATAATATTATACATCATCAGACCTTAGTTACGCAGATTATGGATTATTGTAACATTTTATTGAAGCTCCGGCGACGCCGAGACACCTAACATTTAGTTATTAGTTATTTTATTTTCATCCTATTTATGTTTAGGTTATCGACTAACAAGCATATTCTATTGAAATATTAGGAGTATGTAAATCTAGATGTAATAGAATTCTAAAGCCACTGGAAGTAATAAAATGTTGCACATGCTCTGAGTAGTTTTTATATTCACTTTTGTATTCATGTAACAACCTTGAATACATATATATTTTATTTTTGATTATGTAAAGAGAGCTTGGCAAGAGAATATATCGTCAATTTGGTGCTTCGTTTTACTATATCTGATTAAATAGAAGGCCCTCCACAATGTGAGATGTTTATGGTTTTGTGTATAACTAAAGCTATGTGAAAGATGTACATAATGATTATAATGATTTTATGTAAATTGGTTAATAAATATTTGAGAATGTTTATATAATCAATTTGTTCGTTTTATTTTTGTATAGGAGCTTCTCGTCTCTTATCCAAGCATCCTATACTGTGGCCAAACAAACACGGATAGCATAATTGGTTATAAAAAAAAAATTGGCCAATTTAAGTAACAAGATAATTCTTTAGTGCAACAGTTTCTTTTTTGGATAGAAGCTATTTTAACAAGTCGTTTTATATAAAGACCACACCAAATGGAACATGAAACACGTTTTTAACACTGTTTGAAAATCAGCTTGAGCAAAATCTGTCTGGTATAGTAGGTAACGAAGAGTTTCCAGAAAAACACCTAATGTAGTTTTAGGACGTCAAGTTTGGCAGTATCCTTGTCTACACAATATAATTATTACAACTCATTGCAGAATTCGCTAAACAATCCTTCTGATTTAATATGGCCGGGCCGCATTTTTCCCCTGTCACAGGATCCACTAATCTCTCTTATTCGCGTTAACACAGTTTTTACACGTTTTCGTGAATGATTAGTTTGTTGTGCTATTTTTGGACTTTTTTATTAAATCAATAAAGTGATCTAATTCTAAAATTTTATTCTTCTAAGAATAAAATTTTGATCAAATAAAGGTAAAAAGATAAAATAAAATTGTCTGAAGACATAATTTCTAAAACAGCAGAGATAGAACCAAGTGAACCAAGCATCATGTGAGGGGTGTTCAGTAATGAAAATGAAAAACACAGTGCACGCACTATCTTGGTATTACCTATTATATTTTATCACAACAATTATCATACGCCAACACCAAAGAGCTCTCTCTCCCAGACCAAAAAAAAGGTACCGCCACCAGGAAGTCAAACTAACGTCCCTTACTTATTAATGTAAAATATTCGAAACACTTACATAAATTGACATACTCATTACAATAATAATAAGAATATAACCTATATATTTTATAAAGTATACTTTTGTAATTAAATATGATTTACAGTAATATTTCCAAAATAATTAATTAATGTTCAGAGAAAAAGGGTAAGATAGCTATTTACAATTTAAATATGACCACAACATTATAGTGACTTTATAAATTGATAGATGGCGCTATTAAGTCTGTTGAAAGATTGGATCGGTAGATCTAATGGCTGCTGTCATACTAGTTGCGTTCAATGCCGGAAGATGGCGTTATCCGTTTATTCTTGATGGTGAGGTAGGTAGATTGGTGCTTCCAGGGCTACGGCTGTACACCTGGCAACTAATTGTTACAATCAGTCTCGGAGTAAGGCTATTACTAGCCTTACTCCAAGATTGATGCTTGGTTCACACATGTTTTATTTTCGAAGTAGGGATAGTGATATATCATGGCTATTATTTTATATAATAGACAATGTATCAAGAGGAGTTGTATTAGTGTATTGTTTATCGTTTAGTCCAATATAGTTATCTCTAATAGTGAACATTTCTTTCCATAGTAAGGCAGAAGGTTTTCGGTAAACAAAATAAACTACGAACATACAAGTAAGACAGATTTATTAAGTTACAAGAGATTATACTGACACTAACATAATTAAAATCACTCAATCATGGGTGTGGGGGGCGCTGGTCGGCCACTGACGCTGTTAAACAGGCGATCCTTGATCATCTGCGCCATGAGGCCGTGGATTACTTCAATGGTGGTCTTGCAGGCGTCCTTGGTCGCCTTCCCCAGCTTGTCCTCAGTGCGCTTCTCAATAGGATCCGCACCAGCCACTAAGAAGCCACCGCGACCTGGATATCATAGCATTTGTAACTTTCAAACTATATGACTATAACTATTGAAATGTTATAGCCAGCGCCAGTATGATAACTCAAATTAATTGAAAAAAAAAGGTATTTTTTAAATGATATATTTGTGTTAATAATAATTGTCTATAAACTGCTCAAACTCGTAGAATATAACAGAACCATTCTTGTAAAAGTATTGTTTATGCAAAACTATTAAAAGTTGTAATAAATACTGGTTTTTATCAGCAAAATCCTTTTAACCAATAGATACTTAGTACTTTGTCAAATAATAAATGATCAAACAATATCAATTCAATAGTTACTTTCAATACTTTTGTCAGGTTAAACAGAACACTTACCTAAACAAACTTCACTCTGTTCCAACTTATCAGACAAATCATAAATTTGGCCTGTTGTATAATCAGCATTGGTGATCAGGCTGGAACTGCTCAAAGTGTTTACCCAGTATTTATTCCACAAGGAGTCTAAAAGCCTGCGGTCTAATGAAGATTTGAAGTAAGAAACTTCAAGGGAGTAATATTGCTTGCAGTGCACACCAAAGTCTTCAATCTTATTGAGCGGGATTGTCTGGTATTCTGATGGTTCTTCATTGGCTGGTTTGTAGCCCTGGAATCATTGATTAAAAGATACGTCATAGTATAGGAATACATTAATATTTTTGAGATGCACTAGAAGGGTCCTCAGAATTATTGTGTTAAATTTATAAAAAATGGGTTTTGGTGCAGACAACCACAATTGAACAAACATTGAGGACAGAGGACTCCAAGGCAGTAAACATTTTAGGGTGTATACAGTTTCTCTAGAAAGATTATTATAGGTACTGTTCTAATTTCTGATTATCTATTGTCTTTCAATAAATTTATTTGATATTTGATCAAAGTTACCTTCTATCTTTGAAACAAACATACAAACCTTGGGATAAGTCCTAAAAGCACCCAGGCACACTTTACCAGCAGAAATAGTTCTTACTGGGTCAATAACAATAGCCACAAAGGGTTCTTGAAAGTTCTGGTTAAGCATTTGAGTGGAGACATCAATTCCTGACAGCCAACAACCATAGCCTGGATGGCTGTGGTACCAACCAATGGCATTTTCATGTCGACCAACCTGAAACAGATACAATTGATATTAAAACTAAATTTTTGAAGTGAAAACTTCTTTAGGCGCGTTGGGCATTTTTGAACAACAAACAAAAGAATGTATGTTTTGAGATGGGGAAAAAACCATTAAACTCTCAAGACTGTCGCAACTTTTCGAATCGAAAAAAACACAAACAGTTATATTAAAAAAAAAAAGAGTTTCTACTTCTTGCTGCACTCCCAGAGTGCCACTGTTTTTTTCGTACAAAACTAATATCCATAGTATAGTGTTTAAGTTGTGTTGTAAAATTATTAAAGTTGGTTAAGGTATTTTATCTTTGACTAGCTATTCCCTACAGTTTAATTTGCAGTTATGATCACTGCTCTGTTCCTAAAAGTTTAGTTATATAATGTTACATGGGCTATAGACAAACAAACAATAAACTTTGACGGGCCTGTTGGTCTGGTGGTTAGTGACCCTGACTGCTAAACCGGAGGTCGTGGGTTCGATTCCCACCCAGGACAAATATTGTGTGATGAGCATGGTCATTTGTTCTGTGTCTGGGTGTAATTTATCTATAATATGTATGTATTTAGAAATATATAAGTATGTTTATAAGCGGTCTGGTTACCATAGTACAGGCTCTGCCTAGTTTGGGATCAGACGGCCGTGTGTGAGTTTGTGAGATATATTATTATTATATTAACTCTTCATACTCTATCATATTAGTACAGATTCCTTAATTTATTACATGACTATATTATTAGTTTTATTCTTTGAAAGTTTCTAGTAAAGTGTATCCCAACAACTCTGACATGCTCTTTTCTCGAATTCCTCACCGATCCTTGCATGTTCCAAGCTATTTACCTGTTTGGCTGCCTCGATATAAGCAGTCATGTACTCATAAGCTTGAGCTTGAGCATTCACTCGGGTTTCTGTACCTTCCACAGGCAATGCGAACGAGTCCATTACTATCATAGTATTTGCATCTACTTTACCTGTAAAATAAAAGTACCATATGATAGGAAGGAGAACTAGATTGCAAGGCTTTTATTTAACATTTTTAAAATAATGAAAACAATTTTGAAACCCAAATTACCTAAAAGAAGTCCCATAACTTCGAGGGTGCCTCCAGACCGTGCGTGCATCACCATTTTTAATAACGCTAAAGCAGATATTTTAATGTCTTTGAAGAAATGTGGACTGAAACAAACAAAAGGTTTAGTAAGTTTTTGTAATAACTTTAGCTCAAAATTAAATTTATTTGTATGTGACTTACTCTTTGTCCCACGGTTTTGCAGCAAGTATATCCTGCTGCTGTTTTTTATCATATCGATATATATCGTCCACACTAGAGACGGTTTCTATGTTATTCGACATCACCCATGTTTTCTGAGCAATGGACGATTGTGGATCGGAGCTCGTCGAAGCCATTTCGGCTTAATTAATACAATTTAAAGTTTCTATGAAATAGTATATGTATAATAACTCTTAAAACTTCTAACTGGTGAAATTGTATTATTTTCTTTATAAATTAATCAACCAGTATTGTACCTACGTAGTTCGATTAATTTATCAATATTTTCATGGTTTATGCAAATGACATTTGCTTATTTGACAGTTTCATGTTCTAATTGTGTTCTGTGGTTCAATAGAACCACAGAACACAATTAGAACATGAAACTGTCGTTCGTAAACTTCATAGAGTAACATAACGTAAACTTGTTATCTCGCCAATTCTTACTATTGACTTTAAATATATACCTCTGGTAATTTACTAGCAAGTTTTCTATTCCTTAAGATGGATTAATTTAATTTAATTCAACAACCAAAAAAGTACTATATTAGTTAAAACACAATTGTAGAAAGTGAGGAAAGAGGAACTTTCACACCTTTAATTCTTCTATATTTAAGGACGACAAATAAAACTTAAAAAGAACTCGAATATTAATAACAACCGCCACTTTAAAATTGATATTTTAATAAATATATGAAAAACACACCGATCGGAATGATTTGAGAGAATGTATCGTAAAACGTGCGCGCGCGTTCATATGTTTCGTGAATCGCAGACTCGGCTAATAAATAATATTAAAGTTTGTCCACTGTATAGCAATCAATTTTATTATAATGTGCAATAATTGAATCAATTTTTTACTGATAATGCGCTCTACGAGCATCTTGAGTTTTTACTACTTTTTACATTTGATCCGACGATGACAACCTTCAATATCATTAGTTGTTTTGTAACTACTAATCTATTTCGTGTATATTAGGATGAGATTTCAATTGCAATCTTTTGGTTTGTAATTCGGTGACAGTTAACGCAACAGTAGAGTCTAAAAATCGAAACATAACCGAACACTATTGGAACTTTTCGACTAATTTTTTTGCTTATTTTTAATCCCTCATCATCATCATCATCAACAGCCTTTAACAGTCCACTGCTGGACATAGGCCTCTCCTTAGAAAGGAGGTTTTGGCCTACTATACCACGCTGGCCAGACGGGTTGGTATAGGGTTTGTGTCAAGTTTTCCTTCTCTCTGCAGTGCTGGTGTCCTGCGTATTTCGCTCCCTTAGTCGCCTCTTACGACACCCACGGGATGAATAGGGAATTTAATCCCTCATCTACTGTCAAAGTGGATAAAGTAGTTATCTCTCCACTACGGCGCGCACCGAGGATTTGGTTTCAACACGGGATAGCAATGACCTACAAACAGTTGACCCAAGATCGTGTGCTGTATGCCATTGTTTGAAAGATTTCTTAAGGATATAGATTTCAAACGAACAGAGGGGTCACCAGATGATAGGTTACTACCGCTCCCTTTCAGTTCCTTCCCCCAGAATCAGGTACCCTCACTCACCCGGTGAAATGAATTGAAAGAATGAGATCCAAGTGTGAGTTTATTTCATCATGTCATCTGTTGAAAATGCTCAAGAAGAATGCATCATTCAGCGCTGTAAACGTGATGACAATGGAGACGTTCAAAAATCTGTGATCGACTGCAATGACCATATACAGCTTGTTCAAATGCAACTCACTAATGGAGAAAATAATAATATTATTTCGGACATTTGACTCACAACGCCATCTAGTTTCAAACTAAGCAGACCTTGTACCATGAAAGCTGGATTGAGTGATAGAATACATATATACTTATTTTGTAAATATTATACATAGAAAACACCCAAACTCCGAAACAAATATTTGCAATCGACGGAAATCGAACCCGAGACCTCAGCAAAGCAGTCGTATACGCTACCACTGCACCACCGTGGCAGTCGAGCCGCTATTTAAAAAATATATATATTATTATATTTTATTTTCTTTTTAAGGTAGGTACGCATAGAAGACGTTAACGTTTTTTTTTACATGTATGTAGTGTATGTATAGAAAATAATACAACAATTGTATGTTATGATTTTATTAGGACTTGTATCACAAGTTCCATCATTATCGAATACAATTATGAAGCAATAGCTTTCCTATTCTGTAAAGGTATTAGTGGTACACAGTTGGATGAACTGTACCATCAAGTTTGGGGGGGAATATCTTTACTTTTCTTTAATGGTACTGAAAGTACAAAGTTGTGTCACTAGCTCCATCAATGGTATTAGTCAATAGTACTACTGACACAAGGGCGAAAATCGTTGTAAAGTCCCCCGTCGTTTTAAAAGAAAACAAAATGAGTAGGTACTTTATTTTTGCATAAACTCAAAGATTTAACGTAATTTCTAGGCCATTTTGCTTCTTACGCAACGTTGCATCAGCTACCGTAGCTATATACAATTACCTACCTACGCGCATAGGTACCGTGGTTAGTTACGTTGCGCGCATTTTCGTCATTCTATAAGTGTGTCGCAAATTTTATGGGGATTTTAACCTATGTTTATTTATAAAGGGCGATGACAAAAATTTCATCATCATGATGATTAACAGTTATCTTTATTAGTGATAGTTACAAATAATTATTTCTTTCTCACAGTAATACTGTTAAATTATGCAACTGATGAATCACGTAAAAATACAACTTTTGAAAACAATTTAGTGTTACTAGTGTTACCAGAACCAATTAAAAAATTGGTGGAGACAATACAAAAATATGGAATGTACCACCGTTTTCATAATCACGACTTTCTTCAGACATAAAAGTCATTACCTAATCTCAGCTTCTTCTGTTGCAGTAAAATTATTCATACAACCCCATCAGTTTTGGATACACTCATGCCCTGCCCTTTCTTCAGAATATCACTAATTCGATCAGATTATGTTATTTATTATGAAACGGGTCTCCTCACTCAAGCCTTGTATGCCTTGTATGTTTTGTTATTGGGCCATAACTATCAATATTAAATATGTATATTATTTTAAATATATTTTGCTATTGATATATTTTTATTTATTTATATCTTCATTGTATACACTTAACACATAACAAAGATGACTTACAAATATATAGACGTAACAACTGGCGGTCTTATTACTCACGGCGATCTCTAGCAGACAGCCTTAACACGGACAGTTTACATACACGTAACACATTTTCACATGAACATTAAAAAATATTAATAAAAACATTCATACACAAATCTATGTAAACATAAGTTTCAAGCAAAAGGTTTATCAACAAACAGATACAAAATACAACTTAAGGAGGCTTTCGTTCACTTTAATTTTAATCACATTATCATCTAAGATGGTTCTATAAAACATTACCTATTATGTGCTCGCCGATACCACACTCATCAAAAACAATCTAAATTTTGCCTAATGTTAAGAATCAAAAGTGGCTGATGCGCGGTTGCTTGGCCTGAAGCCAACCATCATCATCAGCCTATCGCAGTCCACTGCTGGACATAGGCCTCTCCCATTGCACGCCACTTAGATCGATTTTGGGCTTCTCGCATCCAGCTCCTGCCAGCCATCTTGCGCAAATCGTCACTCCACCTGGCCTGTGGGCATCCTCCAAGAACTCGTTTTCCCCAACGGTTGTCGGTTCTGCGGCTAATATGGCCAGCCCACTGCCAGTTCAGCTTGCTTATCCGGTAGGCTATTTCGGTGACGCTGGTTCTCTGCCGGATCACCTCATTCCTGATGCGATCCCTTAGAGAAACGCCGAGCATAGCTTTCCCATAGCACGTTGAGCGACTTTGAACTTGTGGACCAGCCGTACCGTAAGTGTCCACGTTTCGGCTCCGTATGTCATGACCGGCAGGACGCACTCATTAAAGACTTTCGTCTTAAGGCACTGTGGGATCGACGATGAGTCATCTCTCCACGTAGCTTTCAAAACGCTGCCCAACCCAACTGAATTCTTCTGTTCACCTCGTCCTCGAAGTTGTTTCTACTTGACTGCAATGTCTGCCCGAGGTACACATAATTTTGAACAACTTGGAGAACGGCACCGTGTACCGCAATCGGTTCCGGTAGTACATGTTCGTTGAACATGACCTTGGTTTTATCCAAGTTCATCCGTAGGCCGATGCGTACAGAAGAGTCAGCTAGGTCATTCAGCATCTGCTGTAGGTCCTGCAACGTGTCTGCCACGATGACGATGTCGTCTGCAAATCGCAAGTGAGAAATGTATTCGCCATTGCTATTGATGTCACGCCCTTTCCAGTGCAGCGTCTTGAACTCCTCCATTGCATTTGTGAACAATTTCGGGGAGATAACGTCCCCTTGTCTCACTCCTCGATGCAATGGTACGGGCCTTGTTTGCTGATTTTGTACTTGGACGGACATGGTGGCGGTTTCGTCTCATCTCATCACTTGGATGTATCGCCAATCTACTTGGCAATGCTGCAGGGACTCTAGAACATACCAGATCTCGATCGAGTCAAAGGCTTTCTCATAGTCCACGAATGCTAGACACTAGGGGCTGATTATATTCTGCGGTCTTCTGTATAATCTGCCGCACTGTGTGGATGTGGTCTATGGTGCCATATCCGCTTCGAAACCCAGCTTGTTGAATTGAATTTTCGGGATCAGGTCGAGATCGAAGCTTTCCACTTCCAAAAGGACTGCCAGCTTTGAAGCAACGACTTCTCCACTTTCTGTGGTCAACTTTGTCAGGTGGCTTCTTCCAAGAGATTGTACGAACACTTTTGACAATCGATTTTGCTCGATCGCTCTTTCAATTGAAAGAGTATTGGAGCACCGGAGGTCGTGTCGTACGAGTTTACTGATCTCTCGGTTTAGAGTCCGCTTTGCCGACAAAGTGACAGGTGGGTTTTCACATGGTTCCTTCATGAGCCCTAGGGTCCTTTCTGAAAGCTTCGACTTCCTGCCCTTACGCTGCATTTCACAAAACTCGTACTTTCTTCCCTGAGGATCCGAACCACATTTTCGAGGTTCTGGTTTACGTCGGTTGTGGTTGCCACGGCAGCGAATCGGTTTTCCAGTTTTGACTGGAACTTTCCGATCCTGCCATGGCTTGGAGCAGAGTCGGTCGGAGCCTGGATTGCATCAAACAGATACGTTCAGCCTTAAAGTTGATATTCAGAGAGCCCCGGACAAGTCGGTGATCACTACCGGTATTAAACCTATTGATTACTGAGACATCTCTGAATATGTGCTTCCTATCCGTCATGATGAAATCGATCTCATTTCTGGTCATAGCGTCGGGGCTTTGTCACGTCCACTTCCTTTGGGGCTGTTTCTTGAAGAAAGAGTTCATCAAAAAGAGCCCCTCCCGTTCGAGGAAGTTGACCAGCATTTGCCCCCTATGATTCCTGCTTCCAAATCCATGGGATCTTACTACCGATTCGCCGCAATTCTGTACTCCCACTTTAGCGTTGAAGTCACCCATAACAACGTTGTAGTGGGTCTTAGTTGTGAAGTGGAGGGCCCTCGATATGTCATCGTACATATCCTCCACCTCGTCGTCCGAGGCTATCGAGTTAACCTTGAGGCTATACCTTTCGGTGAGCTTGATAATGAGGTACGCTACCCTCTTCGACACACTCGAAATTTCCACAACGTTGTCAGAAAGGGACTTATTTACCAGAAACACAACGCCACCTTGGGATTGTTGGTCTCCCTCGCGGAAGTACATTAGGTGGCCTGACTCGAGGGTTATGGTGTCCTCCCCCTCTCTTCGGACTTCACATAGCCCTAGGATATGCCACCTAATCTTCCCAAGTTCCACCTCAAGTTGCGCCAGATGCGAGTCAGTCCTTCAGTCGGTTGTGGTGGCCTCCCGTGGCCTGGAGATTCTTCGCACCCCCTGCCCCGGCGTTACCGTGGTCGCCACCATGACCAGGAATAACGGGGCCGCCGGGAACTGGGGGCCGTGGTGTTGCGACTGCATGGGGAGGGTTTGCCCATAATCGCCACGCTCGGTCGCCAGAGCCTCGTTCGTCGTTCAGCAGGATGCACCGCGGGCAGATGAGGTTGTCTTGGAGCGAAAGATGGTGGTTCGCCCCTCATACCCCAGCCAACCAAAGTTGTCACTTTTAAAGAGTTTTAGCTTACGTGCATTTTTTTTCTGAGGCATTCCAAGCAGGAGCAATCCAGGTGGTAGTTTTGGTCGGTGGACTTACCATAAAGTTAGTAGATCTGGTAACATTTTAACAACAGAAATAATTTGTAAGTTTCGTTGTCTCTTTTTATTACTAAGCAGAATCATATTGTGCTATTTCACGTAGTGACATCATTTTCTGTGACAGCATTATTTTTTCTTTTCCTATAAATGTAAATGGTAATTTGCTATCTCGTTCTTACCGAAGCCATTTTCTTCTCGACACCGCCCCCACGATAGTGCCGGCCAATGATAATCCACCACATACACACTTTTGTGGAACTAAAAAAGGCTTTATTACTCGTTGACAATTCGAACATGTACGACGCAATCGTTTTTAGCTCGCGGATAAGAAATTATCAAATAAAAGTGCTCTAACAAATGAAAATATTCGGCATAGCATGCTAACGGGACTTTGATATCTGACCTGAAGCAAGCGGTGTTGTGGAGTGTTTGTTTATAAATTGTGTTTCCGCAAATTTAACATGACCGCTCCTATTATCATCACTGTGCCGAACAACTATCTAGCGGTGGACGAAATGGAGATGAAGTCGAAGGTAGTGGTCGACGTGGCATCTCCGGCTCCATCCAGAAAGCGCCGCCTCGACCATTTATCATGGGAGGAAAAAATGCAAAGAAAGTGAGTTATTTATTAGAAAATTTTAGTTCATAGTCTATATCTTTTGTAGACCGGTTGTTCAATTTATGCTGAACGCCGGCCAATTTCATATCGAGTATTTTCTATAGTAGTAGTTTTCTAGTATTTTCTGCAGTATTCTAAATCTTTACGTTTGTTATTAAATTAAAAACCCTTATATTAGTGTACTTTATAATGTTACATGAACATCTCTGTTGAACTTGAGGTCTGTTATATACAGTTACAAATCGTGCCGTAGAGTACGTCAGTAGTTAGCACTTGTAATAAAGAGGAGATTGCGAAATATTACATCAGAAATATTTGTCTAACAGGAAGTTGAAGAACCGCGTAGCGGCACAGACCTCGCGTGACAGGAAAAAGGCGAAAATGGATGAAATGGAATCAAGAATTCAATACTTTATGGACATGAACGAGCGTCTCACTAGCGAAGTTGAGAGCCTAAAAGCTTTGAACGAGCGTTTGTTGAGTGAGAACGCATCTCTTCGTAGCGAGGCGGCGGCGCGGACCGTCGCGGGTGCCCCAAGACCAGCAGAGTCTGATCCTCAGCAGAAGGAAGGGCACCCGACGGCGATCCGCGCGGCACGCCTGCTGCTGGCGATGTGTCTCCTATCGCAGACCTCCTTGCTCACTTCGAATCAGAAGAGTACCTCGACACCCTCCATCAACTTGCAGACTCCCTGCTCAAAGAAATTGATGCAAGTGCTGCAGGAGCGGCTCAAGATGTAAGTTGTATTGTAATATTATGTATATTGTATATTGTAATATCAAAGGCAAAATAGTGTACCACTCTTAACATTTTATGTTTTAAACATTTTTTAAATGTGAGTAATGTGTATACCAGATTGTATCCTGTCAATAAGATAACACATTATGAACCATGTTGCTATGTTTGGAAACAGGAACTTCAATTAGCCTAAATCCTTATCTGCCAATGTATGACTATGGATGCTAGGATGATGCAATTTCACAAAAATATTACGTCAACCATACATTACAATCAGGCACTACTGATTAGTTAAAGATATTGGACAAATAACAAAATGAGTACTTATGTAATAAAATATTTTGTAGTTTTTGTGAACCTATTATAGTCTTAAAGTACATACAATAGTTATAATAATATTCATCATCATCATCATCAACAGCTTTTAATAGTCCACTGCTGGACATAAGCCTCTCCTTAGAAAGGAGGTTTTGGCAAACTATAATAATGTTAATAAACATAAATCACTTAATGTATTAGTAATAACATTGTGAAATTGACAATCAAGTAGAATTGAATTGGTAATTTCAAAAACTTCATAAGTTACACTATCAGAGTTTTCAGGAATTGATAAAAACTGTTTCATACAAAATGAGTTTCAAAAGACTTTTTTATTTTTAAGTTAATAATCGTAGTAATCATATTTCTATTGCTTATTGTTATTATGACAAGAAGTTTTTTGAAATGACCAACTCAACTATAAGTCAACTTTGAAACCGAAAAGCTATGCATTTTTTTTATGCATTAATATTTATGGTATAGGTATGTTCCTTATCACAACAGCAACCTAAGTAAAACCTTTCAAAATATATTTTTTGTGCTGCCATAATATATGCAACAGAACATATTGCCAGGCATTAAAAAAATTAAGGATTTCTATCATCCAGAAAAAAGTACTGTTCTCTAGGGTTTACTTGTAGGCAAACCTAGTAACATACAACATGAAATTATTTTTTTTAAAAACAAATCATTTTGGAAGTATTTGGTCACAATAATATTTCCATCACCAAAGATGTCAGTGACCTTTTAAGTATCACATAAAATGCTTCTCAACTAATTAGTGTGTATGTTTTGTTGTAGGAGCCAGTCAGGGACACTAGAGAGTGCCTTGAAGGAACTAAAGTGGTGGGGACCGCAACAAAGCAATTGGAACCCAGTAAAGGTGCAGTCTTAGATATCAAGCATGATGTTGACAGGATATTGTCACAACACTCCTACGCGCATCCTTACAAACCTGAGATTGTCATCACCGAACCTACAGAAGTACAAATCAAAGAAGACAATAATGATAAAGGAGACATGTTTTATGCCAGCTGTGATGAGGCTAATGACTGCATCACCATTGAAGTGCCATGTGAAGAACACATAGTTGAAGAAACTCCTATACAGATAGAGACTGACATCAAATCTCTGACAGACTGCTCAGCGATTACTGTGGAATGTGACATGAAAATGCTCTCTCCAATGACAATGTCGCCGGAATCTGTAGAGGGGAGTCTAGGTTTGTCCCCAGCACACACCAACTTGAGCTCAGACCTTGGCTACGAGTCATTAGCTTCACCACTTAGTGAACCAGATCCCATGGCTCTTTCAGACTTTTACTGCGATTTTTGGTGTGAATCATATTCAGAACTATTCCCTGGTCTAGCATAGAATTATTCTGCATCCTGATCCCCACCAAAGACTGATTAGTTAAGTTTGTTAGCTTATGTATTCTGTATATTAAGTTATGACAATTTTATTAATGTTTAAATTAATCTATAATAAATTAAGTAAAAGTTTTAATATATGTTCAAAAAATTATAATTTAGTGTTATGTTAGGATGCACATAGGTTGTAAATAAACAAGATGTCTTGTCATTCCAGCTTTTTATTTAAATGTGTCCTCAAATAGAAATCTTAATACTTGGTGTTGTAAAAACTTGAATGAGTAGCCTTTTAGTGTAAAGGGGACTCAAACATACACCATACAGTCATTAATAATATGCAGGTTTGCATGCCTATGGATATAGGATACCTATGCTGTCTTTCTGTCTGTCTGTCCGTCTAGACGGCTGGATTGATTTTGATTCTATTTTACTACCAGGTATTTGTCTATATAAGGAGTAACTTGGGCTATTTTTCATCTCAGAAAAACCTTTGCTCGGTCCGGGACTCGAACCCACTAATGCAGCGCTTTTCAAATGCCACGCGAACGAAGTCGCGGGTACCAGTTAGTTTTCAATATAACTAAGACCGCAACTGATTAAAAAACAACACTCGTGACTCGAAAACATTGCGTCACAGTCTTTGACTGCTTAAGGAAAACCATACAATTTTAAAAACAAGGAAGTAAACAGGTTATGGATTACAGTGGGCCATATCCTACAACGCAAAGATCTGGTATTTATTTAGTTTGTTTCTTATAATAGTAGTTTGGATTTCGTAGAAAAGTCTTACAAGCCAAATTATTAGCGATGTTAGACATTAAAAAACCTACCAAAAAAAAACACTAATATTTTGTTTAATTTAAATGGATGGCAAATCCCTAATTAATAAGGCTTATAATTATCAATACTTCATAATGAGATAACATAAATCTAGACCACGTAACAGCAGCTTTTAGCATTGCGGTTAACGGTTGGTAAAATTTTACTAAAAGGAAATTCTGGCCTAAAGTTTTATAGTAACTTGATTAAAGAGTAAATGAGCAGATATACTTAGGTACTTTAGGACATTCATTAGAATAAAAAATATCCTGAGTTATATTAATATTAAACATAAACAGTTTTACGAAACTAGTCGGCCATCCCCGAAATACACAGTACACGGTACATATAGCTGATGACATAAGGAGTAACTTAGGCTACTTTTTTAGACTAGCTTCGCCCCGCGGCGTTGCCCGCGGTTATAACAACAAACGCGGGTAACACCGCGGGTCTCAGCTAGTCTTAAATAAATTAGGACATCATGTTTATATACACTACAATAAAGCGTTTAAAAAAAAGAAAATGGTTGGCTTATCTTGTAATTTATCAGTTAGTTTACAGGACGTACAAAAGTAACAGGACGGACCTCTTGGTCTGGTAACAAATAATTGTGTGATGATCCCGATCATTTCTTCTGTGTTTTGGTGTAATTTATTTACAACATGTACCTATGTAGTAGTAGTAGGGATCAGACTGCCGTGTGTGAGATGTGTGAAGTTATTACTCGTATTATTATTGTCATTTCATGACATTGGAAGTGTAATTCTTTCTGTTTACGTTACCCAAGCACTTTTAGTTTTTTACTTATTTTACAAAATGATTTTCTGCTGGGGTAACTGTAACTTTACATTTAGGATTAGTTTACTGGTCTATTCTCATCGGGAGAAATAGAAATTAATGTGTAGATTTGCCATTTGGAACCATCACAGCCAAAATGAATCGAATTTGCTATAAAGCTGGATAGAGGTATTATGGAGCTTAATAAACATTTATTTTATTGCCACCTTTTTGCATAAGAAGAGTGTTTTTCTATATTGCGCAAAGGCTCAGTGACTAAAGTCTGTATATGATTCATACTACCTATGCATGAGTTATCATGACCTCCAAGTTAAGTCATTAAATGACTTTCCCTGCGAATATTCATACCTACAGCCGCTCAGCTGCTATGAAATTACTCGTATGTTTGTAACATTGTTTAACCTAGAGACAGACAAAGTTTTGAAGGTCCCGAGTTAGATTTCAGACAAACTTATGGCTTGATCTAGAAAGGAATGAGTTTATAATATGATAAATATTTAACACGATAAGGTCATAAAGTCTTAAAAAGTAGTAGCAGTCTTAAAAAGTATATGGAATATGCTTACGATAAGAAAAAGCGATAAATAATGATTAATGAGCGCGTTAAGGACAAAATCAATATTTAATGTGACAAAACAACAAATGTCTTTTTATATAAGATAAGTAGTTAAGCATTTATGCTAAACGGCAAATGCCTTTTGCCCATAGCTTACATACTAATAATAAATGAATGAATTATGTCTATTGTTGCACGTACCGCATCAAGTTTCTACGTAAGCTGAAGGTAATCTATGAGAGAATTCCCCATGGAATTAAGCCTGCCTTTGTACGACATGTGCATTAAGTTTTAAAATAAAAATAATAGAAATATATATGTATATAAAATATAGTACTTATCATCTAATTAGAAATTAAAATTTAGCGATTTTGTTGGTATTTATTAAAACATATAGGTACTCATAGAGGTAGGTTTATATAACGTTTTGGTTCTTATGAATGTGGACGAGCCGACTCAACTTATAGTTGTACATTGGCTGTTTGTTCTCAACACATAAAAATAATTTCTCTTTAACGACTTATTAGTAAGGTATGTACAGTTGCCAATAAGTGTGCGAATAATGTTGATAAGAAAAATTCTGAATCGAACAAGCAATTGCAAAAATATTTAGTTAAGTACTTTAAATTTACACACTGCCACAGTGAGGAGGATAAGTTAAATTCAAAATCCATTTAAAACTGTGCTCATAATGTATTCAACGTTATCAGCACCGGTATTGATCGGTTCTCCTTTTTGTATCCACAGAAAGTACCAGAACGTTTGAAGGTTGAAATAAAATCAATAAAAAATATGAATTAATAAAGCACGCCACCTGGCTTTAACTTCAACACGTTTTGTATTACAGAGCGTTATGTTTATTATGTAAATATTTTGTGAGGCTGTATGACATTTTTCATATACCTACTTACACTTAGTTTTTTTTATTTTAATATTTAAAGTGGGTATGGTAATGTATTGAAAAGGTTGCTCTTTGGAACTGAAATATTTGCAACGATTATCATCAAAAAACGAAATACTTTTGGTGTAAAACGATTATTTTAGATTCTTACGTGAAATTGATTGCTCAGATAAATACCTCTCTTGATAATATTCTTATCTGGGCATATATGTAAGTAGGTACTGAGTATTTCACTTTCTTGTTATATAATAATAATGATATTAACTTGGCACATCTTACACACAGTCGTATGATCCCAAATTAGGCAGTGCTTATGCTATGGTAACCTGCCAGCCTGCTGATAAACATACTTATTTATATGAATTGTAGGTTTAGGTATTAGAAAAAATCATAGTGCTTGTGCTGGGTTTGAATCGACCCCACCACCTCTAACTTCGCAGTCACGATCACTAACCTTTAGACAACAGGTCAGACAGAAATTGATAAACATTTTTAAAACTTAACTTTTATTACAAATTTCTATACACATTGGATGTACATAAATAAGTGTCATTCATTTAGTATATATATATTATTTAAAATTAAATTTTAGATAAAATATAATGTTATATATTTATTAGTAATTGAATAACAAGGTTTGTTACCAATGTGCGTAAATTAGTTATGGTTCTTACCATAACTAATTTCTTGTGACACAGGGCTTTTATAGTAAAGACTACAAGTTTCTCACAAAGGTCTTAATGAATAATAATAATTATAGTATGTACAGTGGTGGATTAACCCTAAAGCAAAGTAGGCACGTACGAGGTCACAAAGGGGCGCGCACTCAGATTTTTTTACCATAAAAAGAACTGTGTCAGTAAGTATGCACATACTTACACTATACACAATCCCTTAATTTTACATATAGAGATGTTTAAGGTTGACATCTAGGATTTATATTAAGTAGCCAGCTGACCCGGCGAACTTCGTACCGCCAGTTGTCTGAACTTATCTATATAAATAAAATAAATTCGAATTAGTTTAAAAATAACTTTATTAAAGTTATTGTTATTATTAAGGTGTGCGATTACTCTATAAGTTTTAATAATAGACCAGGGTTAACCAGTCAATGGCACTATACGGTACAACGGTGTAGGGAAAGGTCTGATCACCCAGAATAAGGCGCGCCTCTGAGGGAACCCTTGAAACGCTTGAAAGACGGGAATGAGTGGCTAAAGGTCGCTTACTAAGCCAGGATGACTCGTTGGTCAACCCGGGTGGAGGCTCTCTGTACTGGCTTTGGCGCCGCGGAGACGGTGCAGCCGCTCATCGTCTAGTGGGCAGAGTGGCAGCACGGGGTCCTTGCCTTCCGACTGACACAGGTCTTTGTTGGGCTCGTCTGCTTAGAGAGGTACCAGCAGTCGATCACTAGGAGTGAATTAAGTTGCGCTTGTCACCACTGTAGTGCAGTTTGAACTCGGTTTAGCACACACTGGTCATCGTAGCGTACGTCCGTCGCTTATTGCAGTCATCTTAAGTGTTAGTGTGGTCTCAGGTGGACGGGTTTTCCTCTCCACTCGCCGCACAGGCCTACCGCAAGGTGGTGTCCCCGAGTGGCTACGCGGATGATACGCTCATGCGGTAAGGCGCACCGTGATGATCCGGCGGCTGGGACTCCAGCTGTCTCTGCAAAAATCTGAGGCTTTGTTCTTTCATGAGCCTCGGAGGGAGCATTATAGCGGCGGTAAGACATTTATGGAGGATTGGCTCGAGTAGAAACAAGGGACCCTCTCATACCGGCTGACGCAGGAGATAACCTGTGTCTGATTTGCAAGGAAACAATGCCCGGGTGCCATTGCGGTGGCCAGAGCGAGGACACGGCGCTCCACACGCTCCTAGAATACCTGGAGTGGCGTGGGTGGAGGATTATCTAGCTCGGTACAATGAT